AATGAGTGCAGGCTAAATATCACAGATACATAATCTGATTTTATCTCCATACTACAAGTTTAGCCTTTCTTTCTCTTTCACATAGTTTTAGCAGACTCATTCCTTGGATAAAACTTGGAGAGGTCAATCCTTCTACTAGCTGGTTAAAATGTACTTGTTTATGAAAGCCATTCTGTGACATTGCACAATTTAAAATACAGCCTTAGTATGGATATGATGTATTAAAGTTTTGAGCATAGATCTGATCAAAGGTGAAAAACTGCTTTCTGAAATTTAACTCAAATATCAAAAATTTGAAAGGTAAATTCCAGATTGTCCAGAGTTGTTTAGAACTAGGTTTCATACATTGCTCTATTTTTAGATTTACTGGAGAAAAGGTTGATTTTAATATTTTCATCTAGAATCCACACTTTTTTAGAGGGGAAGGGATCAAAACTAGGATGTTGCTCTTACTAGGCAAGGACTCATCAGTCATACCCTCCCCCTAGCCATAAGAAACCACATTTTTTTGGTCTTTTTGAGACAGGGTCTCCCTGTATCCCCAGCTGGCCTGGATTCTCTATGGAGACTAGGCAGGCCTCAAACACACAGAGATCCACCTGCCTCTGCCTCCTGAGTGCTGGGATTAAAGGCCTGCACCACCACGCCCGGCAAGAAAACACATTTTAAATCAAATAACTTCATCTCAATTTGGTCATCCAGAGATTAACAATTTGATGATTTATTCCTGTTTGTATATTTATCCACACTTGTTCATACTTGGTTGGATACTTTGGCCTTAGATAAAAGGCACACTTCCAGATATTGATTCAGGTGCCGATGAGAACAGCCTCTCTCTCTCTCTCTCTCTCTCTCTCTCTCTCTCTACTCTCTCTCTCTCTCTCTCTCTCTCTCTCTCTCTCTCTCTCATGTGTGTTGAGGTAGTGAGGTGGAGCTCTTGTGACCAGGTTGTCTTGAATACTACCGAAATCAAGGGGCAAGATCTGCTGGAAATGGGTGAATATTGACATTCACAGTGTGGGAAGTTTTTACTTACCAATTCAGTTCATTTTGGTCTGTTAAGTGATTTGGAGTTGTAAAGAAGGCTTTTGTAGGGGGAAGCAGAGAACAGGCGAATGGAAGGTGATTACAGGGATCCAAATCTGTCAGCTGTTAACAAGTGAATGCTTAAAGAAATAGTATACACGATGGAGTTTTATTCAGTCATAAAGAGGAATAAAATTAGGTCATTTTCAGGAAGATGAAACTACAGATTATCCTGTTAAGCAAAATAAGCCTGACTCACATAGATATCACCTTTTGTATGTGGAAAGTATGTGTGTGTGTGTGTGTGTGTGTGTGTGTGTGTGTGAATTAAAGTAAAATGAAGACTGGAGAGGAAGAGAAACAGCAAAGAGGTATAGTAGAAGTGGGATAAGAGAGAAATGATGTGGAAATGGAACAAAATACAAGATATGCCATGTAGGAAAAGGTCATAGTGAAACCCATCATTTTATGCAATGAATATATACTAATAATGAAAGGAGGGCTGTTTTTCTTACTACAGGAATTGTCTGCCATTCACTGGTATAATCATAAAGCTTCCACAGAGCCTTTACAAAGTTCCATGTTAGATAAAAGTTAACAAAAAGTAGCTTTGCTCTGACATTGAGGCTTTTTGCTTAATTTTGTATTTAAATATTTTAGTTCTTGAAATGTGTATATTTTCCAAGTACTGCAATCACTGATGCTATAGTCTTAGAAAAAGCACAGTTCAGATCCAGTACAAATCCATTCTGAAATAGAGATAGCACAAATACTGAACTTGAAGATGGCATAGCACCTTAACTTGTTGCCTGTATCATTCCTGCATTTAACTCTGTTTCCCAGACATCCCATTTTCTAACAGTAAAGCTCTACAGGTCACCTAGCAGGATATTTAGCAAATTCTTAGATCACATGTCAACATTTTGAACTATAATATCTCAAGTATGCAGTAAATCTGCAGACATTTTCTTTTGACAAAAGTGTATATAGTCCCCAGGTAAGTTATTTTTTTCTTGCCTAAACTTTTTTTCTTAACACCCTAAATATTGATCACTCTAAATGTAATGGTTTTCCTACAAAGGATCCTGTTGTCACAGTTCATCTTTTGCTAGTCTTTACCACATCTCAGGACGGCCAAAAGACTCTTGCGATTAAGTGTAAGTGTGTGAATATGTATATACACAGAAAATGCTTTCATTATTTCAAACAGTTCCTCCAAAAGCAAAGCAAGTCAAAACCTACATCTGTTGGAAAAAAGCCATTGAAAAGATTATTAGCAGTACAATGGAAAGAGCAGTTATCTGTACTAAGGTAAGGTTCACATTGGGTTGAGGTACTCAGTTCCCAATGTCTAGTTCTATAACAACAATGTGATATTTGAAGCAAGGAAGCCAAAGAAATAATGTAAAATATCTCTAGTTCTCAGGCAGATCTGCAGTAGAGGAAGCTGTGAGGCAGGTGTGAAGAGTTCAGAGCAGTGATATCAATTCACATTAACTATACAAGTAATCTGTTAGTACTTTTCAAAACCAAAATGAGATTACCAAAATACTCAACTTTTCCTATGGAAAACAGGAATTTCTGTCTAACTTTAATTACTTTTTATTGGATGCCATAATGCAAGGGTTTGCCACTGAAACTAAGAACACCACTCTAGAATCCCTCACAATACAGCATGAATACCATATGGTTATTTTGATAATTTCTGACTAAGTATTAGTATTTTTCTCTAAATTTCCAATTGAAATGTTAGAGGTTTGTTTTGCCATAAGAACCACAAGTTTCTTTTTTGGCAAAGATATCTATTAAATCATTCTAAAGGTGGAAAGTTTTTTTTCTAAGTCTTGAATCAAATTGTATGTAGATGATTAAATGTCTCAGAATTAAATGAAATAGATCATAGTCAAGTGAAGAATGATTATGTCAGGCAGAAAGAACTGGAAATTTTTCCATATTCACAAGTAAATGGACAAATCTAACTAGAAACTTAAAAAAATATTTTTTTTCTGAGACAAGGTCTCACTGTGTAGTAATAGGCTGACCTCAAATTGATATCTTCTAACTCAGCCTCTGAAGTGCTGAAATTTCAGGTGTGCAGCATGATGCTGTGCTAATTTAGAGCTTTTATAGTTATGACATCCTTCAGGATCAATGATTTTGAGTTTAGAATCTTCCTCTGTCTTTATAATTCACTGGACTTAACATTAAAACTGGAGATTTTTTAAACAGTAGTTTCTAACATAATTCATTTTATTTGTAGTATGTTTACCTTAATTATTGCCAAGACTTTAAATATGATATCAAAGAAATGAATCCAATGTATCTAGATGTTATAAGAAAGCTGACTGTAGTGGACGTAAAACATGGTGATATTCTTTTATATAATTAAGTAATTTTTGTCTTTATAGTTATTTTTGGCTTGGCAGTACATTTTAAATTTGCATTTAAATATATCAGTGTGAAAATTTTGGAGTTCACAGCATTTTAGGCAAATGGAAAAATGGGCATCAGTATAGTGGCCGTTTTATTTGCATAGCTATATATAACATAATTGCCTTCTACTTTTACCAGCTTAGAGTTAATAAAAATGTTCAAATCGCCAGCATAGAATTTAGGACAGTAGCTTCAACCTTCATCCTCAGTGAGGCCTCATCAGAGTCTAGTCCTAGGCCCACATCACAAAGATGATAACCCTGAAAAGATCTAGAAAGAATCATATCTCTATGAAATATGGCACTGGTCTCTTTCTGTAGTAGAAATTGGCTTTTGTGATAGAGCCTTCCTCTTGCTTTAACACCAATTGAGAGAAGACTATATTTTGAAGCCTGGCCCCATGGCTGGCTACCCTGTTTTCTGACCAACTGATAACTAAACTACCAGGACAGTTATACATACCTAGATTATCACGGATACATAAATTGGTGAGAAATGTTCTATTGATGATTTGGTTATATATTGGTTTTGTTGGTGCCTTCAGTGTGAGTTAGGAATTTAAGCCAGGTTCATTTATTATTTAAAATAAACTTGACAGTTGGGAAAGTTGAATTTTTAACTTTAGAAGCCTTCCGTTTGGAAAGTAAACTGTGTTACTTAGTGTCAGTGCCAGTTATGATAGTCCCACTTAGTGAAGTAAAGGAGAAGTTGGATTTCAATAAACAAGCACTTCAGGTAAGACCAAGGTGTTTTAGAGTAAACCCTTGCCAAATGGGTCTTGATGCAGCTTATTAATTTCTTTGTTCTCTGTATCTGAGTTGCATTCAACACAATTTTCCGCCTCCCTTGCCCCAAGTTTGACCTTTCTTCATGTGGAACATGTTGACTACCACTCACCAGTGCTAGGGACAGAGATGGGAATCAGTAACAGAAACAACACTGTCAAAAGCAAGTTTACAGATACATTTACATTGTTTGACAGATCCTCATTTCACTTCCAGAAATTACACAGAAGAATTTAGATGGATTCCTGTTGGTGTTACATTTAAAATAACAGGTGACGTCCGACTAAGCTTACTTTTCTGCCATACACATTGCTAATTAACATCCAAGAACAAAATACATGTTGGTGGACCTCCACCCTTGCTCAGCAGGTGGTTATCCAGTCTAGAATGATGACGATCCTAATGTCATGTTTAACTTGAACCTTTGTATTCTAATTAAATACTCTTGGTCTGTGAGAAATAGTTCATATATATAGATACAGTTTTCTTTGAAGGCAAAATTTAGATCACAGGTATAGTTCCATGTATCCACTAGGATTGTTCCATCATACCTTAGACACAAGTTTGCACATGCAATTTCACTGTCCCCAGTGAACATTGCAACTGCCACCTGAATTAGGTTATATGAACCTAAAATTGTTTTTGTTGGGTTTTCATTTCAGAAAGCAATTAAAGTACATATGCTCCTTTTAAAAAAATTTCAACACCTCGGTAAAATGCTATTTTCTGATAAAAATATTTCAAATCCAGTTTTTAATCTTAGAAATGCCTTGATAACCATGATGATTAAAACTATCCATAGTAGACAGGACCCTATAAATGTACTGACTAATTATTTTTCTTGCCAGTATATGAAATTAGCAACTATTAGCTTAAAGTACAGTAGAAGATTTAAAAAGAAAAGTTCACAGCCTAAATGCTAACTTTGATACTCTCAAAATTTAAAATATAGTATATTAACGGAAATACACAACACAGGAAAGGAATTCAGCTAACTTACTAGATATGACATATACTATAGGGTAAATATCTTATTGGCACACATTAAGAAACACACATATTTAAGAAACAAAACCTCAACAGCCCACCAATTAGAAGTTACAGTGTTTAAAAACAAAACAAAAGGCCAATTCTATCTAAAAAACAAAACAAAAAGGCCAATTCTATCTAAAATCCACAAGCTGACAATTCTTTGGAGTCTGTTTAGTCTCCCTTGAATGCTGTTCATTGAACCAACATGGGCAGCGTGTAGCGCTGAAGGGCAACAAAGACAGGCATATTGATTTGCCTTCTTTGATAGCTGCTGGGGACTGCTGACCATATCCTTCAGCCTTGTGGGGAGATGCTGTGAGATCCTGAGGAAGGTCAAGAATCTGTGTGCCAGGTACAGTAGCAAAGTGGCACCTGGAGTTTCAGGGAAACAAGGGTAGGCAAAGCAAAGCAAAGCAAAGCAAAGCAAAGGGGTTAAGCACCCGACTGCACCTCTGCTGATTAGGGGCAACACCCCTTCAGTTGGTTGTGAGATGGATTCAGTGTTTGTAGGTATAAAAAGGCAAATCATAGTAATAACAGTAAAACAGAACATGGAGAATATGGCTAGAAAAGAGTGAAAATAATAGGTTCACTTTTCTTGGGGTGGGGGCAGTGAGGGAATCATATTTGGGGACACCTCTGAGAACAAGTAAATTACAAATTTTCTCTTGAATTCCAGAACAGATGATGGGGATTTGACTTAGAGCCGAGTTGTAACTTGTTCTTCCTGTCCATCGCCCCATTTGTGCATGAGCAAGTCACAAGCCTCTCCCCAAGTTTCAAATACATCCTCTGAGGAGTCTAAAAGTTTAGAATTTGAGGAACAGATGCTGGATGCACAGTGAAGAGAGCTGGAACAGGCTAGAGGGCATTCACTGCTCTGAGAAGCGCCCCGGACTTCACCTAATTCTACCTCACTGAGGTTAATTTCACTTTGAGAACAGGCCTCTGCTTTCCCTTTCTCCATCTGAGAATATCTGATGTCCTGCCACATATAATGCTGCTGCACGATTCCGTCAGAGATTGTGTACATTGGCTCTGACCTGGGTTCAGACATTTGACCGTTAAACTTGGAGAATAGGAGACCCAGTTTCTTGAGAGAGGGTCCCATGAAGGAGCGTTTGCTCGATGACTCAGCTTTTGACTTCCCTTGGGCACTACTGGCTCTTGGCATGGTTCTGACGAGAGGTGGCCCATGGCAGGTCTTTTTCTTGCAGCCTAAATTGAAAGAGACACTCTTGGATTTGGCCCGAGCCCCACCACTGCCGTCATTGGTATCATCTCTCTGAGAAAGTTCAGCACTGCTAGTGGAAAAGCTTCTCCTTGGGTGTTTTCTATTTCCTAAGAGGTCAAGCACTTCGTATCGAAAGCTGGAGATGTCCTGCTTTAATTCCTAGGGAAAGAGGGGGGATAAATTTGTCAAAAAGTTTGGTCTACACTTCAAAGAAGGCACATGGAAAATTGGGAAGCCTAGAATTTACCGAGTAGTACACTATAAAGTACATATCCTATTAGAAAAATCTCCCATTAGTCAAGCACAAAAAGTCATAATTTGGTCAGCATTAGAAAAATTGTGCAGTAAGTACAGTTGATTTCAGAACCTTGGGATCAGGAACACATGGAGAGACTAATCCCTAAGGAAGTGCTAACTCATCATTAAGGTAGTAGAGTGCTGCCTCTCACATGTTATCAGCATGTACAAATGCCACTGAAGAAGAATTGCTTTTAGTAGTCTAACGAGGGAAACAAGAAGTGAATTAGCTGATGAGACTGCTGTTTTGGGACAGAAGTCCCTGTTCATCCAAGTACCTATGAACTGTCTTCTATCTGACTGTTTGGATATCATTAACGTGTTCCTTTACAAGCCATCTTTTCAAAGCTTACATCTGATCACATCCTCCTGCTTAAACTAGATTTAGCAACTTGCCACTGATTTAGGAAAATATATAAATGTCCCACCTTGGACTACAGGGCTTTTCTAAGGCTGGTACCTCTTCATCTCTCTTTTTTATTTCTTCTACTTTTCCCCCAGGTACTTTGCCATCCAGCCATCTAGATACCTTATCTTGCCTTTGGGCTTCTGTCTATATTGTTCTCTCTACCTTGACTACCTTTCCCCCTTTATGTGACCTACCTTCAAACTTAAACGTGACTCTCGTTGGAAAGCCTGACTGAATCCACATGTGCCAGTCGAGTGTCATCCTTCACTTTGTTTCTATGATGCCCCATGTCTACCTTGTCAGAATACTTAATCATTTCCATACTATATTATTATCTATCACTCCATGAGAATTCTTAGAACTCCTGTGTGCCTTAGGGGAAAAATTGTGTGTGTGTGTGTGTGTGTGTGTGTGTGTGTGTGTGTGTACACGAGTGTGCATCCTGGAATACTGTCCTTCAGTCTTGGCTTCACTGAGATGTCAGGCCTGATCATCTTTTGTCTTTATTGTTAGATGTTTAAGTAGCAACCTTTTTATTACCACTAGGTGCCAGTATGACAACTTAAAATCTTTTAAAACTGCCAGATGTACCCTAAGGACATAACTGTCCCCAACTGAGAATCACTGTTTTAGGCTGATGTCAACAGTGGGAAAATTTTACTATTTAATGGTAGTTTTTTTAAGACTTATTTAATAAATATGTTGGACTTTATCGTCTTATCTTTTAAAGAAGGCCTTTAAGTTTCCAAGCGTTTTCTGTTTACTCTCTTCTCTGTCACTGTGCAACATGCAGTTCCCACACTGAGAACTACTAGAATAGCGAAAGAAGGAATACATAGGAAAATTTCCTTTTGTTCATAAAACTGATTATGGTGTGATAGACATTGGTAAAATAAATCTCTACACCTACAGGATGACGGATAATTTTAACAGAGAATAAGAACAAGTTTCTGCACTATACAAAGGCGATATTCCATAACCAGAAATCTCAGACTCTATGAAATTTAAAGTTACTGCAAAAATTAAGAATTAGGGCTTGAATGTAGCTCTGTGGAAAAGGGGAGAGGGAGAGAGGGAGAGACAGACTTTATGATGAAATTACCTTAAAATTTTCTTCTGTTAGCCCCTCATTTGTTTTGGAATTTCTTATCATTGCAGCCACATATCTTTTGACTAAATTCCTGATAACTTCCTGAAATGAAAAAAAAAACATGAAAATGTATTCAGTTTCCTTCTCAGGCTATCAGGTAAATAAGAAACTTATATAGGAAAAAAGAACTTGCTTAGATCATCTTTGCAATAGGAAATGCTCACAGTATCTAGCAGTTTTGTGTCCACCCCCAAATTAAATTCTTATTGTGTTAATGAGCTTTGCATCTCTGAACATAGGTGGCAGACTGTATGAGTCCCACCAGATCACCCCAAAGGAAGAATTTTCAGTCAAGCATAACTTAAATATCTGTCCACATAGAAAATAACAAGTAAAATAATCCTCAAACGGCCAGAGTCAGTGTCCATTCCCTTCGAACTGGATTAAACTTTAGCACATTTAGTGAAATGAGGGCTTTTCCTCTATATGAAGCTAGTCTTATTATAATTAAGGTACACTTCACCTTTATAGGGCTGGCATCTTTTAGCCTCTGGGGGGAATGGCATACACATGGTTGCAATGTTGGCACTGATGCATTTCTGCAATGTCAGACAGTATGCCAGGCAGCAGCCATATCACACTGAGTTCTCACAAGACTGTAATTAACCTTTGCTATTATTATTTCCAGGTTACAGAAGAGGACACTGAAGAATAGTGGTGGTAACTGACTCGTTCAAGGCCACACAACTAGTAAATGTGAAAATTAGGTTTCAATTCTACTTCAAGTCGACATCAAGGCCTATAGTAATAATAAGAAATGCTGTAGTTATAACTTGCTATTTGGTGAACTTGGAGAAATCACTGAGATGCCCAAGGAACCGTTTCTTGTGTGAGGATGTTTGAAGCAGAAAATAAAAGCAATGTTTTCCTACATGTCGTTATTGTGAAAATTAGATTTAGAAGTAGCCACAGTGAGAGAAGGGTTACCAAGGAAATATTGTACTCTCTGTTTCTCATGTACCTCAAGCTGGCCTTTAACTTTTATGTAGCTGAGGATAACCTTGAGTTTCTCATCCTCTTACCTCTATCTCCCAAATGGACGTGTGTCATCACACCCAATTTATGCAGTGCTGGGGATCAAAGCCAGGGCCTTGTGGATGGTAGGCAAGTACTCTCCCAACTGAGATACATCCACTACTCTGGGTTTCTTTTGGTCCAGGTTAAAGATTTTTGTCTCTAATTTGTGATTTGCGAGAATTACTCTCTAGAAATGTCTCACATATTTGGGTGCTTGGCTGTCTTCTTGGCTGGTCTAATAAAGGCTCCTGCTTCTTGGATTGAACTCATGTTTGTTATTTAGAAAGACCAAACTTCCTGACATTTATGTAAGCCCACTGGAGTTATTAATAGCTTCTCGTTTTATATTCCTTACTTATTACGTATTCTCATTGCTATATGTTCTTTTGGTTCACAGTAAGTTTTATCCTTCTAATAATTTTTATAGATCTAATGATTTAATGTCTTTTATTGCTGCTAGGTAAAAAACTTCAAAAGGGTGGAAAGGGTTTGCCTTTCTTGTTCACAATGAGTTCTCTAGTATGTGTCTTAGTGTCTGATGTACAGTAGGTGCTCATACACTTGTTGACTGACTGGCTACATACCCATTTTACTTAAGCTCAAGGAAGATAGTTTTCTAAGTTATGTGTGGCCCAGATCAAGATAAAGAAGTGTTAAAGGACTATGAATACGGTTATAGAGCAGGCTATTCCACCCTGATGAGTTATTTCAGTCTTTAGTCTTTCCAAGCCTCCTAGCCAAGTAAGATCAGAAATAGCTGGAGTAAATTGCTTCTACTCCACAGAACTGGCCAAGAACTGTTGTGTTTAGTCCATTTGGGAAAGTATTACCTGATAATGTTGATTTTGTATCAGACTATCAGCATGGCGTTCCTGTAATTTAAAATGCATAGAGAGAGCACATCAGTTTGCTAGCACTGTACACTCCCATCTACCCCCGATTGCTAACTAAATATTAGGACTATAGAATTACATAGCTCATGACTCACAAATACACAAAACATAAGTAGTTTGGAGTGGTTTTATGATATTTCAAGATAGGGACTGTCACAAAAGAGAGAAAGGAGGAAAATAGTTTTGTTTAAAGAGGAACAGATGCTTGTAGGCTTACTGTGAAGCTTCTCAAGTTGTGCCTTCTTCGTCTTCCATCAGGGTCTCTTTTGGGGCAGAAGGTGTTGTTGAACCAGTTGCCAAGATAGAGAAATGATTTGGGGCTGGGGATGATGTTGAAAGGAGGTGGCAAGGTTCCACCTTCATCAAAGTAACTCATCCAGAGCTTTGTTCTTGCAAACTTCCACTCAATATCAGCATGGTCCTATGAAAAGCAGAATGGCATGGTTTTGAGAGATGGGAAACTGAAAAATGCACCTATTGCTCATTTCAACCCTTATTGTTCCTTTTAGAGAGGGCAACCTGGCAGGACCTATATAAAATCAAATTACACACACCGTGTAAATACAAATTACACTGATCTAGCAATCCACTTTTAGAAATAGACCTTATTAGATGTTGGATGTGGTAGTGCATGCCTCTAGACCCAGCTATTCGGGAAACTGAGGCAAGAGGATCATGAGTTGGCAGTATTTATAGGCTGGTATAAATACTGGGAAAAGGGGTGGGGGTGTGGCTCAGTGGTAGAGTACTTGCTTAGCATGTGCAAGACTCTGGGTTTAATTACCAGAACTGAAAGAAAACAGGAAGGGAAGGAAGAGAAAGGGGGGGGACGAAGGAGAGGGAGAATCAAAAGGAACAAGGAAGGAAGGAAGGAAGAAAAGATATATTAGGTGCAGAAATTTTCACTAAAGTATGGCTACTTGTAGCAAAAGAACTATGAGCAACATAAATATCCTACAATAGGAGGCTATTTAAATAAATGATGATACTACAACAAAGTAGCAAATAAACTTTTAAAACGTTTTAAAAATTTTATTTGTTATTTTTATTTTATGTGTATGTGTGTATTGCCTGCATGTAGGTAAATGCACCCATGTCATGCAATGCCCATGGAGGTCAGAAGAGGCTGTTGGATCCCCTGGGACTGGAGTTATGGACAGTTGTTAGCTGCCATGTGGGTGCTGGGATTCAAACCGAGGTCTTCTGCAAGAACAACCAGTGTTCTTAACCACTGAGCCATCTCTCCAGACCCCACAATCTAACTTTTAAATATAATAGATCACAAACTATTTGTATATAAAATATGTATGTATGTATGTATCCATTTATCAAAGACCTCAGAGTGTTAAAAACTGCAATACATACTGTATACAAAGATCTCATTTATGCAACTGAAAAAAATCATATTTAATATTTACATGTTCTAGGCAGGTATATACTAAACTGTGAATAGTGGTTATTTTTAAAAGGTGGAGATGATGTAAAGAAACTTTTTTTAAATTTTTTTTTCACCTATTTTTTTTAACAATTAAAGTTAC